CTGGCTGGGTGGCTCCGCGGGTCTGGAGGGCGGAGGGCAGCGGGCGGCTGCTGGTCGGTCCCTGGGCGCCAGGTCAGGACACGCGGTGGAGCTGACGTCCGGCAGGTATTATTGACTCTTTTATTGACAGTGCGGGGCCTCATGAGGACAAGAGCCACACACTTCATTAAGGGACCTGCAGGGAGGGATGGCGCAGCCAGTTGGTGCCAGGAACAGGGCTCCTGTGTGCTTTGGGAAACTAAGCTTCGGGCCACTCTCCCTGCTCGGTGGCAGGGTGCCGCCAAAGGGGAGGAGCCAGAGATGAGACGCCAGCTGGGCTGCATCGCTTCCGTGGCTTTAAAATCCACAGTTTTAGCCCAGTCACACCTGTCATCCCAGCACCGGGGAAGCTGAGGCGGGAGGATCCCTGTGAGTTCCAGGCCAGCCTGGGCTACATAGTGGCCCCCGACCATGACTTTGTGGTATTTGAATCCAGGTGTTGGTCCCAAGCTCTGGCAGAACTGAACCTGCCTCAGAGACGGGTGGGCAGCGGCGGGAAGCCGTCACTGTGGCCCTCCATCTACACAGTAACCTTCTTCCTTCGTCCCTATGGCACCTTGACTATCCCCGCCTCCCTCCCCGCTTTTCTGTGTCTTCTTCCCGTCCCTGACACCACATTAGACAGCCCCCTTGTGCCCCGCTGAGCCCCACCGAGGCCCTGAAGGCCAAAGAGGTTGCCGACTCTGACGTTTTCTGTCGTTGATTGGTGCTCTGGGGATCCGGAAGGCTTGGGACGCGTCAGCCGCTGCCAGCTGAGCTGAGCCGGGTCCCTGTACCTCATCTACACGTGGGGCAGATGGGGCCCGGGCCAGTTCTGCAGGCCGGGCATTGCCGGGCTCCAGGACTTCGGAAAATGGAATGAAGAGGTCACGTTTGGGGTGTCAGGGGCAGAGCGAGGAGACTGGATGCAAAGAACAGAGGAAGGGCGATTTTCTAGGTTGGGTTTCTTTGCTTTTCATTCTCCATCTGTTATTCCAAAATGAGTGATAAAAAAACTAAAGAAAGAATTGAAGCTCCCTCGACCCTTTCCTTGCTTTCTACCCTGTCTTCTCCCTCATTTTAGGATTCAGGGTCTGGGCAAGAGAATTTGAGGTGCAAGAAGGGGTGGTTATTTATTTAGGAGGGGTCAGGTGTAAAGAGCAAGGGCTGCTTATTTCGAGAAAGCAGGTGAAGACACTTTTGTCCTGGTGGACTCCAGGAGGATGACCCTTCGGTTCTGCACAGCTGTGTCCGAGCCCGGTTCACTTTTCTCCTTCTTAGCGTCTCACTGAGAGCGTTCTGGGCCTCACGGGCAGCTTCCTCTCCAGTCAGCCACACTCTTCCTCCCGTACGGGCCAGCAACCAGTCCAGGGCTCTTGCTCCTACAGTTTGCTTCTCTTTCTCTTTGAAAGCAAGAATCGTCCCTTGTCGGCCCATCCCGCCCCCAGGACTCCCCGTCCGGCCCTCTGTCCTCACCGGTCTCAGTCTTTGTCCTGCTGAGAACGTGTTTGGTCTCCTCTGTCCTCGCAAACCAAAGGAAAAAACATTCTCTCTACCCCACAACCGTCTCCAACTCCTGCTTTCTTCTCCTCCCACGCTGCCCTCGCCAGCTTCCTCCATCCACCCCCACCTTCCAGGGACGCCATCTTGCCACCTCCTCTCCACCTGGACCAGCCTCTGCTCTGTGGCTCTGAATGGCCCTGGCCACCTGCTACTACTGTAAGTGCCCAGCTCTGCCCTATCCTGGTTTTGTTCTCCCCTTACCGCCTTCTTGTGAGACAAGATCTCTCTATGTCATCCAGCCTGGCCTTAACCTCACTGTGTGGCCTCGAACTCCAGGAGATCCTCCTGCCTCAGCATCCTGAGTGCTGGGATCACAGGTGTGGGACACCACTCCCAACTTCCCCCTCCTTCCTATTATTTCTCTGCCTGCTTTTTGGCTCTATTCCTTCATCTCTAGTCCCAGGCATTCACAGGAGTTTTCCACGTGACTTTCTCCCCTCCCTCTGCCTTCATTTCTCTCCTTGTTCCTGAGGCCCAGGGGTTTGCTCCCCCCAGAAACACTTTCCACTGATTTCCCTTTCGTACTTCGGCCCCATGCTCCAGCCTGGGCAGCTGAGCGTTTTCCACCAGTTTGCTGTCATCACTTCCCCTTCATTCATTTTAATGGCAACAGAGCTCGGTGGGCGGGGCCTGGGCTATGCAGCCGGAAGCCCTGAGTCCCAGTCCCGGTGCTGCCACCACCCAGTGCAAGAGCAGGCAGAGCCCTGGATAGTCAGTGTCTTCCTGTGCATCCCCCTGCCTTGCAGGCGCCTCTCGAGGCTGACATCAAGGGACGCGTGTGTACAGTGCACGGTGGAGCTGCTCCACAAGTCGTGAGTCATGTTCTCCCAGACATCCAAACCCAAAATGGGGGCCTCAACCAGGCATAGCGTGCACACCTGTCATCCCAGGGCTCGGGAGGCTGAGGCAGGAGGGTCACTGCCAGTTCAAGGCCAGCCTGGATGAAACAGTGAGACCCTATCTCAAAAAAAACACCAACCAACCAAACAGTAGGTCTCAGGTAAGACCCTGTCTCGTCCATGTCCCAAGCACGAGCCTGACCCCATCAAGGAAGAAGCTGACTGGCAGAGCAGGTCCTCAAGTCAGAAAGCCTTGTGCTCAAGTCTGCCACCTCCCACGGTGACCTTGGACAAGTTCCTTCTTGTCTTTGGGCCTCAACTTCTTCATCTGTACGGTGGCTATAGTAACCCTATCTTCAGGGTCACTGTGAGAATCCAAGAGCTGACACACATCATAGATAACGGCCTACAGGGTGGCAGGTGCTTCGCCTTTGGCAGCCGTTGGTGAGGGTGTCAGTGTTGTTATTATCATCATCATTTGAGACAGGGTCTCGCCATGTAGTTCAGGCTGGCCTTGAACTCACTTTGTAGCCCAGGGCTGGCCTCAAACTCACAGTGATCCTCCTGCCTCAGCCTCCTGGCACTGGATTGCAGGTGTACACCACCACACCCGCTGCTGTTATTATCTCCGCATTCCCTGCATCAGTGAGCACCTAGTAGGTGCTCAATAAAATATCCACACATCATCCATAATCTCTCATCTGATCCTCCTCACTAAAGATGTATTTGCGGAGTAAACTGCCCAGGATGTGGACGTCATTGATTTGCAGAGATGAGGGTGTTGTTCTCTAGGAAGCTCGTTGGCCTTTAAAGAGACAGATGCGAAGGGCGTTCTGGGTTTCCTTGGCCTCAAATCCCAACAGACCACAGTTTTCAGATCGTCCTCACCCGCTTCTGAAGGCGTCCCTGCCCTATCTATTCTAGGACGCATGAGGTACCCTCCAGGCTACACAGGGAAAACCCCGGTCCAGAAAGTGTGGGGATTCACTCACTGTGGCAGAGGCCGAGTTTTCTCTGCAGACGCAGACCCGGGGAAGAGCTGGCTGTGTACCCCTGGGATCAGATGCCTCTTTTAGGGGCCCTCCGCAGGGTTCGGCTCTGCAAAAAAAGAGAAAGCAGAAAAACGGAATTAAACGAGGTGAACAAAAGAAGAAACTGAGAGGTACAGAGAAAAACACAGGGGAAGAGGAAAAGGCCCCCACAGTGTGGAGGACAGGAAATGAAATCAAACGCACCCCTTGGTTTCCTGAGTTGTGATTTCGGGCCGCGCAAGTTCCACGGCGGAGGATGGGAGCCGCTCCGGGGAGCGTGGATTCCTTAGGAAAAGCACCTTTGTGGGGTTCAGACTGCTCTGCTCTGCTGCTGCTCTGCTCTTTAGCAGGCGCGTTACCCACACAATGACACGTCTTAGCGATGTGTGGGACTACGGTGCAGGATTCCCTTTCTGGGCGCTCGATACTCCAGCGCGTGCCTGTTGCCGCCCATGGCTCAGGCCAGCCACTCGGTGACGAGTTGCAAGGTTCTGCATATTGCAGAGCATGCGTGTTCATTTGATGCTCACCGTGTTTCAAATGGAGCTCTAAGCAGCCCCTGCTCCCAGCCTATTAAGGCGCCTGTGTCATCTCCGCGCCGCTCAGTGGTGTGGAAATAATTGCCTCGAGACCAAAGGAGAAATCGGTGGTCAGGGGCCGCGTCAGCGCTTGCGTTCTGGTCTTGCTCGGCCGCATCCGGAGCTGTGCGCCCCGCCCGACACCCGGGGCTCCCGACCAGTCCCCCACCCCCACCCCGCACGTAGCCTTTCCCAGGACAGCGGGTGGGGTCTGTGGCTGAAGCAGGGTGCGTGGGGCCATCAGCACGGCTCTCACCGCTCCCAGATGCGCAAAATCGAAGCCACCGAGGGTAGCGGGGCGCAGGCAGAGGGGGCTCCCTGTCTCCGGGGCTGCTGTGACGCGGGCTCCAGATGGGAGAAGGCATTCGAGGGGGGGAAAGGGCTCTGCTCTCGACACAGGGACCAGAGGAGATGCTCGCGTCCCGGCAGAGCTGGGGACCTTCCGCTGGCCTCTCCGAAGCCTTCCTCCCTCGCCTCGGCCCCTCTCCCTCTGTCTCTGGGATGAAACCCCAGGAGGTGGGCTGGTGGAGGAGAGCAAGCGGCCAGACTTCGCCTTTAAATATCAACCACACACACAGACAACGTCCTGGCAGCCTGAGAGGTTTCCATGGTGACAGAACGCAGGCCGTGACCCCTGTAAATGTAATCAGAGCACTGGGATCGGTGTGTGAGACAGGTTTAATTTCTCCTCGGGTGGCAGCTCTGGGGTCCTGGCCACGCACCGGCTTCCCACACTGACAACCTGTTATCTCGGCCCGGGCAGCTCGGTGCATGCCAGTGCCCCGTGCCCCAGAACTGCCTTCTCACCAGCGTGAGCAGAGGCATAAGGGTGTCAAAGAGGTCGCCAGGAACTGGAACAGCAGTCCCAGCGACAAATACGGCCCCGGCCCCGCTATGGAGCACCCTCGGGAGGTGGAATCATCCCTTCCGTACAAAGCTATTGCAGCGGGAGATCCAGACCCCAGGACACAGTAGACGGCCAAGGTTTTGCAGAGCCAACAATGGTAGTCTTGGGAGTGTCACCTCCCCTCCAGCTCTCTACATCTTCAGCCGGAGAGAGCTGCCCGAGAGGCGAAGGTGGAGATCTTCCAGAGTCCCAGCAGAAGATGGTCCCACATGGGCTTCCTGAGGAGGCCTGCTGCCCCCTGGAGCAACTCTCTCCGGAAAGTGAGCTTTCGAGGGCCTCAGGAGACTCCTCCCCACCACCCTAATTTGGACACAAAGCCGAATTGTCATTTGCTGTAAGCTCCCCCCAAACAAGGCTGGAGCTTCGCACTGAACGGACGGGAAACAGAGGCTCAGAGGCAAAGGCAGGGAGAGCAAGGAGCAGCCCCCACCTCCGAGCCTCAGGACGACGCCCCGAGGGCCACTCGGCTGCTGATTCCATTTCTAACCGGCAGGCGCCGCCGGCCCTGCTCAGCTCCCACTCGCCTGGCTTCTCTGAGTCTCTCACTCCGCCTGTTTGGCACTGGAAAGACAAACAAGATTTGGGCGAAGAAGAGACTCACGGGGCCAGGTGTCATGCTTTCCTTCCCAGACAGAGCTGGTCTAGAAGATTCTCCTTTCCGAACTTGAACTGAGAATCTCAGAATTTCGGAGACCCAGAGAAAGAGAGAGAGAGAAACAGACAGAGAGAGAGAGAGAGAGAGAGAGAGAGAGAGAGAGAGAGGTCAGGGCCCAGCCTGGAGAAAAGTTAGATGCCTGGGTTACAGCAAAGGAACAAAACCGCAAGGGCCTCTGGGTCCCTGTTACCTTCCAAGTACTAATGGGGCCTGAAACGAGATCTCAAGGAAGTGGGGGGAGGTTTCAAGAGTGGTTGTTGAACATGAGAATCAGGAAGTGGTGATTTGGCTGAATGTACAGATAATAGCTTCACCACTTCCTGTGGCAGCTGATCCCAAAGTAGGCAAGGTTCCAGAAGAGAAAATAGCTATACGATAGGACTGTGGGCTTCTTTATAATCATCCCGCACAACTGATGCCATGGGATAGATAGACTCTTCCTTCTGGACCACCGAGGACAGGGTGGACCTGATTGTCCATAGGTTTTATTGGTTGGTGTCCAACCCAGAATCACAAAATCAAGGAATAATCGAATTTAGAGGAACCCCAAGAGAACATCGGGCCCCGACATCACATCCTCCGGTTGCCGAGTAACCAGACCATCTAGGACAGGTGATTTGATTGTCTTTCTTTTTTATTTAAGGGCCCTGTTCCTCCACTGTGAGTCAGGAAATAAGGTTTTCTGCAGCTTTCACAGGCCACAATTCCACGATCTCTAAAAATAGAAGTGTCCCGTCCCTCCCCAGTAACCCTTTACAGCATTTCATCATGCAAAGATTAATGGGTGCTTTGTGAACAGGAAAGTTTCGTTCTCCTTGGTCCAAGCTTAGCACTGTGGTGCAGCAAGCACTGGGAGTGCATGGACTCCCAGGGGTGACCATGGGCTCCGGGCCAGAGGAGCAAAGCTCTCGCTAAGGTTTCAAGAAGGAGGAGGGGGAAAAAAAAGGTTACATTCTGTTCCTGTCGGTCTGAGATGCCAAGACTCCAGCCAACAGCATGGCTGGAGGCAGGTAAGTCCTGGAGCTTGCAGTGAGAAATTACAGGTTCAGCCCTCGGGGGATCGATCAGCTGCATCCACGAAAAAGGGGGAAAAAAGAAAAAAGAGACAGGAAGAACAAAAATATTTCCGTCCTTTGGCATTTTTGTTAACTTCAAAAGAGGCCTTGAGTGGCCCTGTCCTGTCACCCCTGATATTCTTACCAGGGTCTTGACTTTAAATGGGGTTTTGTCCCCAAAAGCCTAAGAGAAAAAGAGCCCACCCCATCCGTTACGCCTCGGCAGACAGGCCAGATGCCTGATGTAAGCCGGGGACAGCGGCAGGTGGCAAGGACTCCTAAATAAATAAGGCGGGAGTCACCTGGAGGTCCGCCGTGTCGCTCCGTTCGCCCTGCTTATCCCATTAGCGTGTGTCACTTTATCAGATTAGTGCTGTCCCGGGGAGCGGACGGCGGAAACAGCCAGGCGAGTTTCGACAGGATGTGAAGGCAGACAAGGTCTCAGCTACCCAGTGTGACCAGGAGAATTCAGGCCGGGATGAAAACTAAGATTCATGCAAAGGACAGGCTGCTCAGGGAGGAGGGAAACCAAGGGGTTCTGAATGAGCGAAGCGCATTTGCCTGGGAGCGCTGACTGCTGCTGCCTTCTGGAATCTTCTTTTCTCTGGCAGCCTCGCCACGCAGTTTTATTGTGTTCTGCTCTGTCTTGCAGGGATAGTGGGGTGGGGGGGCTTTAACACTCTGCCCACCGGCTCCAGCTTGTCGAATGCAGTTATCTGGGTCTTTCTCCTTTCTTGTATCCTTTTTAGATTTCCAGGGTTATTTCACAGATTTGCCTCAGTTCTTCTGCCTCTGCCAGGGCAATCTATTGGGCTTTTTTATTTTTATTGTTTGGTACTGGGGATCGAACTCAGCACCCTGCTCTTGGGAGGCAGGCAATGGAACCACTGAGCTACATCCCCGGCCCTAATCCATTGGCTTTTGTCCGTCCTCTTTGTTCACTTTGAAAGTGCTTATTCTTGGACTTTGGTGTAGGTCAGCGGTAGAGCCCTTGTCTAGCAAGTGCAAGGCCCTGAGTTTGATCCTTCTCACTGCTAGGAGACCGGAGGAAGTCGAGGAGGAGGAGAAGGAGGAGCAGGAGGAGGAGAGAAGCTACTCCCTAGACTTTCTTTGGGTGGCCTTGTTGTCTTTCCAACAATCTGGCTTCTTTTAGGGCTCCTAGAAATAATCAAGATTCTTGATTATAAGAGACAGAAATCCCAAATCAAATAGCCTTGGGCAAAAAAAAGGGAAATTAGTTGTTACTAAGATTCCAAGGAAGTGTGAAACAATTGGACACTGAAGGGCAGAGACATAATTAGGCCTTAAATACAACTGGCCTTCGACTTCCGGGCTGATCGGCTTCGTGGGCCACGGGGCAGCCCCTCACAGCCCACACAGGGCCGCTGTGGCCGCAGGTGGTGTCGCATAAAACATCACAGCTCCTGCTGAAGCCCGGTGCGTGCGAGGGCAGAGAAGAGAGTCCCAGCTCACCCAGATTGTATTCGGAGGAAGAGTGGGGAGGTTTGCTGAACAGAAAATGTAATAATCTACCCATCCTGTCTGCCTGTCCTTCAGCTCTGCTTGGGTAAGGTAGAAAAGGTCCAGTTTCTCTCCCACAGGACTAGTGGGCCTGTGAAAATAAGAGCTGTGATTCAACAGGAGATCTCCACCCTCATTCCGCACACAGAGCCTCGGCTCCTGCCTCCTCTCCGCTGGGGGTTACGCCGCTGGGTGTGAAGCGCGCAGGGCAGACCGGATGCCGTGGAAAGCACCCACCCCTCGCCTTGTCCCGGACCACGGTTCCCTCTTCTTCCAGCTTCCCGAGGCCGCCATGGACAGCCCGACCACCCCGTCTGGAAGCCTGAAGTACGTTCGCCCCTCGCTCTTCTGGACTCCTACTTACACATCTTCCCGGCTCTCTGCTGCTCCAGCCCCGCTGCCACCTTCGCCTGTCCTCTGTCTGACCCCTCCGCCCTCATTAAAACTGCAGCCACTTCCCAACTCCTCAACGTGGCAGGCAAGCGTCCACCGCCACCGCCACCGCGTTTGGTGCCCACGCCTCTTCTCCTGCCTTCTCCAGACGGTCTCCCTCCTGTCACAGATCCATCCATTCCGTCACCTCAGCCGCACTCTGCCGCGCCTCCGGTTTGTCCCCACGTGCTGTCCCCTGTGTCTGCAGCGCTCCCCCGGCCCAGGCTCCGCTGACCCTTCTCACGCCTGTCACAGGCTGGCTTGCTCCCCCGGGGTGGATCCCCACTGTGCTCAGAATCCGCCGTAAACCTGTCCCATCTTCGTCTTCCAACTTGCAGCTCCCCGAGGGTCTAGAGCCTTCCCATCTTAGTCACCATTCCCCGGCCATAGATCTTCAACACAGGCCTGTTAAACGCTGCACGTCTGTTGGGGTTTTTTAAAAATATTTTTGGGGCTGGGATGGTTGCTGCACACCTGTGAGACTGAGGCAGGAGGATCTCGGAGAGTTTAAGGTCAGCCTGAACTACATAGTGAGACCCTGTCTCAAAAAACCAAATAATAATAGTGATGATAATGATAATAATCAGTAACACTTGTTATTCTGCACAATTTCAATCACAGAAAATTTAACCATAGTACCTAGACCTCCTGTTAACCTTTCCCTCGGACTAATCAGTCATTAACTTTTGCCACCTTTTTATCTTCTATTTCTATAAATGTAAAAACTTTTCTCCTGAACCTTTTGAGAATAAATTGCAGACATCCTGTTCCATTTCCCCTAAAAAGCTGGGTGTATTTCCTAAGAATGAGGACACACTCCCTTAGAACAATCGCACCCGGTAGTTTCCAAGCCAGGGAGAGTTAACACCGACTCGGAACTCCTGCTCCAGACGCGTTCTTTTTCAGAGAGGTAGGAGGTATGGGGCAAGGAGGGTGGCACCGCGGATGGGCGCCTCCTCCGCTGGGGTTCAGCAGCCGCCCTGTTGGGTTGGCTGGGCTCTGCCGAGCACTCTTGGAGGCCCGACGTCCCTCCCAGCGCCCCCACTTT